TAAGTTGAAGGAAAGTGGAAATTCACTAAATGAAAAATGATTTACAAGGAAACTGGGTCTGGGTATTGTAGCAGCAGCAATCAGTGTTTTCAGAGGGAGCAGGAACACCCTGGAGAGCAAAGTTACTCAGTGGTGCTACTGCAGGAGGAAAGAAAACATGAGGAGGGAGAGGTGAACACCATCAGCCATGAAGCTCTCCTTCCCAGTGTCCATGTACAACAAATCAGCACAAACCAGATCACTTCCTGTCCAAACATTACATGAAATCTAACAATCCCTGGATGTGATCAGCATCAACATTTTACAGTCTTTTGTCTTCCCATGGAAGTATCCAAAGTTGGTCTGATTACATTGTTGACTTGTCAGTGGTCAGGGAGGGTAGTAAGGACTAATGAATCCAACACAGTGAATGGACCAAAGCTCTCTGTGTGCTGTAGCTTATGATTATCTGCCTGTAGCTAGCTATCAGAACTGCATCAAGCTGAAGTGACTACTGTCACCTGAGTTATCCCAACATATCTACTGCTCATAGTGATATACTACATCTGTTACCTAGATATCCAGCTTCCCTGTTCAGCTCTTATTCTCATTAGTAAAATACTTTAGAAATAAACTCAGAATGGTGTTTGAAAATACTTTTATTAGAGATTGAGAGAAACACACATAAGCTTCAAAGCTAGCAGATGCTGTAGTAGGGAAATGGAGAAAATGTATAGAGAGAAAGTCATACATTTTGAAGTATGTCTACAAAATGTTCTATCAGTAATGGTGGTTTTTAAGCAACCTCATCGAGGAAGAGGAGGAGAATTTCAGAGAAAAATGAGAACTCCCTGACTTTCTGAATATGTATGTTTAGCACAGTGTCCTAAACAGCTGACCTGAACAAGGGAGAGCTCTTGGTACCCAGACTGATACCTGGGAAACCAGCATGGGACTGATCCAAACACCCTGAATGTGGGTGTCAGTGAGGAGACCTTGCAAATCTATGGGGACCTCTTGTATTGGATCAGTACTTATCCCTAGCATAGGAGAGCCCATTCCACATAGAGGATACTCCCTGAGCTAGATACTCCCTACCCAACCAACTTTATATCATCTATCTATCTATCTATCTATCTATCTATCTATCTATCTATCTTATATCTTTCTATTATATATCTATCATATATCTTTCTATCATATGTCTGTCTGTCTCTGGCTATCTATCTATCTATCTATCTATCTATCTATCTATCTACCTCTTTCTTACAATCATAAAACCTCACAAAATAAGGGAGAGGGAACTGGGATGAACATATAAAAAGAAGCTTGCTTCTAATTTAAAATTGGGTCTAATTACCATTATAAAAATAAATATATATACAACAAAACAAAATAAAAATAAAATATTATGCCAAAGTTCTAAAAAAAGAAAATCAAATGAAAAGCAATGAAACAAAAAAATTAAGAAAAATCCCCAAATAAAAATTTCATGAAATCCATGGAGTTCATTTTGTATAGACAAACTACTCCTGTGCGTGTCCTGCTCTAGAGTGTGGTTGATATATCCAGTGAGACTACATTGGAGAAAAGTGAGTTTATCTTTTCCAGTGTGTGTCATTTATAGATAGGTTCTTGGTTACAAGACAGAGCCTGTGTCCACTTTCCCTCTCCATGTTGGTGACCCTTCTGGCTGGAACTTTTGCATGGTGCCATAGTCTCTATGGGTTAGTAGCATGTGACATGTATGTAGCAAACACATTAAATTGGCATTCAAAGCCCAGGCTTTGGTAGAAAATCTTTCCAAACAAGTTGTTAGTACAGTGGATGTCTATATCCCATGTTCATATTTCCCTATTTAAGGTTCATTATTACCATATTCTTTTTCTTTCTCATTGCCACAGAACACCAAGCAGCTGTAAAATGACAATAATGAAGAACAGGACAGAAGTCACACAGTTCATTCTCATGGGACTGACCAATGACCCAGGCCTGCAGCTAGCCCTCTTCATTACCTTCCTCCTCATATACATCATCACCCTGATTGGGAACTTGGGGATGATCATGTTGATTCTCTTGGATTCTCGGCTACATACCCCCATGTATTTCTTCCTTGGTAACTTGTCCCTGGTTGATTTTGGTTACTCTTCGGCTGTCACTCCCAAAGTCATGGCTGGGCTCCTAATTGGAGACAAGATCATGTCTTACAATGACTGTGCTACTCAGATGTTCTTTTTTGTAGCCTTTGCTACTGTTGAGAATTATCTCCTGGCCTCAATGGCCTATGATCGATACGTAGCAGTGTGTAAGCCCCTGTACTATGCTACCACTATGACTAGAAGTGTGTATGTGTGTCTTTCTATAGGTTCCTATTTCTGTGGTTTCCTGAATGCCTCCATCCACATTGGGGACACTCTCAGTCTTCCTTTCTGTGGGGCTCATGTGATTCATCACTTTTTTGTGAGATTCCAGCAGTTATGGGTCTCTCTTGTTCTGACAGACATGTCAGTGAGTTGGTTCTTGTTTATGTAGTGAGCTTCAATATCTTTTTTGCTCTCTTAGTTATCTGGATATCGTACATATTCATTTTTGTCACTATCCTAAAGATGAAGTCAAGTGCTGGATATCGAAAGGCTGTATCCACATGTGCCTCACACTTCACTGCAGTGTCTATTTTCTATGGGACAATTATATTCATGTACTTGCAACCCACATCAAGTCACTCCATGGACAATGACAAAATCGCATCTGTGTTTTACACTATGATCATCCCTATGTTAAACCCTCTGGTCTACAGTTTGAGGAACAAGGAGGTCAAGAGTGCATTAACAAAAGTTTTGCTAATGGTAAAATAGTTCATATTGATTTATTTTTAATGTTCTAAGATGAATAAAGCTTTTCAGTTTTTCTTCCACTTGCACTTAAATTGCAGAACAGATTCTTGTGTTTCTGCAACTATATTGTATAGGAAAAGAAATATATTGTATTCATGATCATAGCTATGAGGTTTTTAATTTGCTTGTCAATATTCTTGTGAAGGACATTAATGTACTGTTTTAGTTGATTATTATTTATGTGTACTCTTTCTATGAGCAAAATGTTGTTATACATTCATAACCAAATGCAGTCATGCATCTATATATTTGATATAAATGAACAGCTCCAAAAGAAACTAGAAGTGCACATTGCTATGCTGACACATGCCATTGGCCATGACATAATTACAACATCTGGCAATCAATAATTCAGTTATTGATCCACCAGATGAGAAACTCTGATGTAGCAACATTCTCAACAACACTTATGGGACAACAGACTCTAAGAACTCGTAGCCTATTTCTGTTATTTTTCTCATATCATCCTGTGTTTTTCCTTAAAAATAGTTATGGATATTTTCCTGACTGCCTGCAGGTTTATCTTGTGAATTCATTCCATCTAATGGTCACACATATATTTATTGACAGTCAGGAAGGTGATTTTGTCTTAATTGTATAAATTTAATATTTAGAAATAATACTAGTTTATTTTTCATTGTTCAGAATCACACAGGAAAATAGTAACATTCTCATCTACAAAGATAGCTTTCTTTGCTTTTAGTTAGAAAGAAAACTATTTTACATGTAAACTCCAGGTCCCCTGCCCCCCCACAACTAACACCCTACCTATCCCATAAACTTTCTGCCCCCCAGGGAGTATGATGCCTTCCATAGGGGGTCTTCAAAGTCTGTCTTATAGACTTTCCATAGATTTCCAAGGTCTCCTCATGACACCCACATTCAGGGGGTTTGGATCAATCCCATGCTGGTTTCCCAGCTATCAGTCTGGAGACCGAGAGCTCTCCCTTGTTCAGGTGAGCTGTTTCTATGGATTTCACCAGCCTGGTATGGACCCCTTTGCTCATCAGTCCTAGTTCTCTGCAACTGGATTTCAGTTCAGTTCAGTTCAAGGTTTAGCTGTGGTGTCTGCTTTTACTTCCACTAGCTATTGTTTGAAGGCTATATGATGTCATATGAATTAGTAATCAACCTCATTATCAGGAGAAGGCATTTAAATTAACCTCTCCTCTGCTGCTTAGATTGTTGGTTGATGTCATCCTTGTAGATTTCTGGACATTTTCCAGTGCCTGATTTCTCTTTAAACCTATAATGTAACCCTCTATTATATTATCTCTTATTTTGATGCCTTCTGTTCTTCCCCCAACTCAACCTTCCTATACCATCATGTCTTCCTCATCCCTCCTCTTCTCCCCTTCTCATTATCCTGGTTCCCTCTCCCCTCCCTCCATGCTCCCAATTTGCTCTTCCCCTTCTCCAGAGGACCATGAATAATCTCTCTTACAGTCCTTGTTTACTAGCTTCTCTGGCAGTGTGGATTGTAGGCTGGTAATCCTTTACTCTATGTCTAAAATCCACATATGAGTGAGTACATACCATGTTTGTCTTTTTGTGACTGGGTTACCTCGCTCAGAATGGTTTCTTCAAGTTCCATCCAGTTGCCTGTGAACTTCAAGATTCCATTTTTTTCTGCCATTGTGTCAATATACCACATTTTCTCTATCCATTCTTCAGTTGAGGGTCATCTAGGTTCTGCCATTGTGTAAATATACCACATTTTCTCTATCTTCAGTTGAGGGTCATCTAGGTTGTTTCCAGGTTCTGGCTATTACAAATAGTGCTGCGATGAACATGGTTGAACAGATGTTCTTGTTATATGAAAGTGCTTCTTTTGGGTATATGCCTATCTTTTTAAAAGATTCTCTAATTTGAGACTTCAAAGCAAATCCAAAATAGACTAGTTGCCCTAGAGGTGAATTGCTCAAGGACAAGTTACCAAGTGTCTATTGCTATAACATGGTCAGGCATGAAATAACTTTGGTTTGAGTTTTTCACTTGCAAAAACCCTGGCAGATAACATTAAAGACACAACTCCCTGTACAAAAACTTCTCAGCAAATTGACTTTCTACCCCTACCCTTAAACTCACTTTTATGATATAAGACTCATGATTCAGCCAACATGTGTTTATTGCTCAAGTCCTGAATTTCATTTTATTGTCACTCTCCATGATGTCTCTCAAGCTACTTGCAGACAGGCCATGCCTCCCACCGGCACAGCCAAACACTGTCATGGTTAATCATTGCCAGCTGGTCAGTGTGACCTTCTAACCCTGAAAGAAACTGTGTGATTCATTGTATATCATAATGGCTTTGTTGCTTATTGTTTATTCAAGCAATGCTATGTGACCCTGAAAATATAATTTATATATTGTCCAGAGCTTGTTCCCTGAATGGTGTGTGAGTAAGTTCATGAATAAGTAAATGATATAGAAGACAGATGTAGCTCTATGTGAAGAAATGTAACAGAGTAGAGAAAAGAAATGTGTATGGAAGAGAGATTTTCATAGAGTTTTTTTAAAAATGAAATAAAAGACATTACAACAAGAAAGCAATGCTTCTTCCTTATTACCCTCATATAGAAAAAGTTGACTCCTGCCACATCCAAGGACTTATTTTTGCAAACCATGGATGCAGTCTTAGAGCAGGCTCTCCAAAGACTGCAATATACACATTTTGAACATTTCATGGTGTTTCAGTGATGTTCTTGAGCATTGCTTTGATTGTTCAGTCATGAGTTGTAGAGGTTGATTTTTCTAACAGAGTATCAAGAAGAGACATATATTACCTGTGTAGTAAGAATTACTAGCACATCTCATAGAAGAGTGCTATCATTTTACATATTTTATTTAAATGAGTGATTAGATCACAGTAATTCAATTTGCTTTCATGAATTGAAACTAGGTAATTTAAAGTGAATTCTTGTATGTATAGATTGAGTGTATTAGAAAATGACAGTTGCTTCTAAAGCTTGAGAGAAATAGATGATAAACCTTTTTTTGGTTCAGGGCTTTTGTTATTGAGTCTCCTTTGTGGGATTAATTGAGGTTCCTTTCACTCAGATGACAGTAGCTTGTATCATGCTGAGAAAACACTAGCCAGAACACATGGTACTGACTAGGCTCATGTATGCTGCAGCATGTATTGATATTCCATTTTTTTTATTGGATAATCTTCCACCATTCATGGTTTAAAATAACTTTAATTTTATGTATATGTGTATTTGCCTATATTTATGCTAGAAAACTGTGGTGATATATTGTTTATGATCTATCTAATAAAGCTTGCCTGGAGATCAGAATGCAAAGCTAGCCACAGCAATAGAGGTCAGGCAGTGATGGCACACACCTTTAATCCCGGGACTCAGAGATAGAGGGAGATGGATCTCTGTGAGTTCAAAGCCATATAGGGCTACATGAGAATGAATCAGTCTAAAAGAGAAAGACAGTTTACACCTTTAATCCCAGCACTAGAGAGGTTTATAAGACAGGAGCAGGGTCTCAGAACCGCAATTAGTCCCAAGCTATGTTGAAAAGAAGTGCAGTTGCAAAGAGAACACATGATCCCCTCTTCGTCTGAGCATTGGTAGAGGTGAGAACTTTGTAGTAGATGGCTTGCTTTGCTCTTCTGGTCTTCACCTTGAACCACAATGACTGTCTCTGGGTTTTTACTATTCATACTACAATCAACCATGTGCATGCCTGTGGCCCACAGGGGCATCAGATATGAAAGGCCCACAGGGGCATCAGAATATCAGATTGTGGTCAGTTGAAGAGTGCCATATTAATGCTGAGAACTGAACCCAGGTACTCTGCAATATTAGAAAGTGCTCTTGAACGCTGATCCATCACTTGACAGCCTATTAATTCATTCTTAGTTGATGAACACATGGATTGGCTTAATTGTGTGCCAACTGTTAGTAATGCTTCTATGAGCACCGTGTGAAGGAATTTTTCCCATTCTTTGACTACCTCAGTATTAGGAGAATGACTCTTTCCTATAGTAATTATGACTAACTTTGAATATTATCAAACTTTTTATAATTCTACCCAGTTTTTCATTCCTATTAAAACTTTCTAACATCTTTGGTGTAACTTGTTATTTTCTGCTCTTAAGTTACACACACATACATGCATGAATATATGCAAACATGTACACACATCATTTTAATGGCTGTGAAATAGAATCTAGTTTTAGTTTTATTTGTATATTCCATCTCTATTAATTATTTTGATCATCCATATACTTTTAAGACTACTGTCCTTGAATAAATATATATTCAAATGCTTTGCACATACTTTAACTGAGCTATCTTCATTTTTGTTGAGTTGTTCTTTGTGTATTCTCTATTTATACCTTTATAAGACATATGATTTAAAATATTTATTTCTAGTCCAAAAATTTTTTATTTGAATTAGAAACAAGATTGTTTTACATGTCAATTCAAATTCCCCCTCCCTGTCCTCTTACCCTGACCCCTGAAACTAACACCCTATCTATCCCATACCCTTTCTGCTCCCCAGGGAGGGTGAGGCCTTCCATAGGGGTTCTTCCCATTCTGTCATGTCCTATGGGATAGGGCCTAGGACCCATCCCATGTGTCTAGTCTCAGGGAGTATCCCTCTATGTGGGATGGACTCCCAAAGTCCAATCCTATGCTAGGGATAAGTACTGATCCACTACAAGAGGCCCCATAGATTGGAGATGGATCTCTGTGAGTTCAAAGCCATCTAGGGCTACATGAGAATGAATCAGTCTAAAAGAGAAACACAGTTTACACCTTTAATCCCAGCACTAGAGAGGTTTATAAGACAGGAGCTCAGGGTCTCATTTTCATATTCAATATTCAATCTCCAGCCACATTGAGGATTCCTGGATACAACAGTGCCCCAGGCTTGGTAGAGGTAGGAACTCTCTAGTGGCTGGCTGCTTTGCTTCTCTGACCTTCAGAATGAATCTCAAT